AGATATGGTTTTTCTATTTATGCATTGAAATATCTCGAATAGAGCTCGATCCTAAACGGAAATGTCATTGAATCAATGAATCACTATCGGCTACATTCAATGATACTATCCTTCCTAATTTACTGCCATCGGTCAGAACAGAATGAAGCCGGCACCCATTATGCGCTGTTGCAAGATATAATCTGCAACAATCCTAGAAAATAGATCCGTTTTATTAAGGAACGAATTCATTAGCAAAAAAATGACTGACAAGTTATGAAAAACATATTGTAATATAACGATAGTGAAAAATCATAGATACTATCGCAAAATATCTCAATTTATCTATATTAGTAATCAACTTCATTCAGCCAACGATAGATTTATGGGAATTACTCATAATACTTGACAAAGCAGGATTGAAGAACCTATTTACATCCCATTGCTGTTATGATATAGTTATTATGCATTCAAAGAACAATTTCCGAAGATCTAGACATAATGATAATGTCGGCAGCGTCGTACTGACACAGGCAATCATATTTTAACTCTGTGTGAATGTGGATTTTCAGAAAATACGTCATAGGAATGGTGGAGGAGCCAAGTTCCTCTTTTATTAATTTTTTTCTGAAGTGAAATTTCATCTTACGAAAGAAAGAAAAAATACGTATATATTAATTTTTTACAAACTTCACAGTTAGATAAAAACCTCAATATAGGAAACTTCCCCATTGTGTGTTTTGAAATGGACATATTCAAATTTATTATTTTCATAGTCTTAGCATGAATAACAAAATTCGAAATCAATTCGCTGGTAGGTTTTCAGTATAGAGTTCACGATAATGTCATTTTAAAAAATCAGTGGTCTCCCCCATTGAGTATTGGTAATATTCCTATTAGCAATAAAAATTCAATTGGCTCAAAATGTTCCCTTATGATTCGTGGCTTATTGCTTATAATAAATTTGTGTAAATAATAATTATATTAATTCCCACTAGAGGACATTTGAATCGGTGGAGGTGACAGCCCCGCGCACGACTTGTGGGCGTGGTCTCGTCAGTTCTCGACATTCAGCACAATGTTGCCAAGTTTTCAACATTCACATATTTTGTTATGGAGAATAAGAAATATGCTCGAAAAAGTCAAGAATGAACTATAATGTCATGAGTTCCTCCTATTAAGTTTTATTGAAGGACAGGACTCAAACATATTTTTGATAACTTGATTGATTGATGATTTATTCGATGTATGGCCAAATGGCGGCCATGACGTTACGTTTGAAATGAGATCTGAAATTCACAAAAGCGTGAGAAGTGTTTCAAAAACTAATTTAGGTTTCTAACAACACAGTGAAGTAATTGAATGTGTGAGGGTTGCTGGGCTGTGTGCACGTGAATATATACCAAAGAAGGGAAGATTTGTATTTCATGCAAGATAATTTATTCAAAATATTCGTAGCAGGGCGCTTTCGACTGTTAAGTCATCATCAGTGTGTACCTGTAAGTAAGTAATCTGCTTTTAGCTATTGGAAAGAAATTGTAATTGAAAATTCTAAAAAAAATTTCGGAAAAATTTTTGAAAAAATTTTTTGAAAAATTTTTTTTGGAAATTTGTTTAATATTGAAAAAGTAAAAAATAAAAAAATAAATTGGTGACTTGTTACTTTTTGATGAACTTTTGATTTGAAAAAGACATTATAATAAAATCAAAATTTGAAATTGTTAAATATGAATTTGGAAATTGATAAAAGTGAGGTTACTTACTCGTCAGGTTAACAGGGAAATTCGTCCATAAAAAATATCTTTGGTCCAGTTTAAAACGACATTAAGGTAAAATACGTTACAAACAAATTAAAATGTGTTTCCCAAAAGGGGGTAAAATATGGATTACATTTTGTTAAGCAGCCATTGTCGCGTTGAAGTGAACTTGATGAGTGAGTCCTTTCATCAAGTTCATCAAGTTCATCAAAAAGTAACAAGTCACCAATTTATTTTTGAATTTTTGAATTTTTCAATATTAAACTAATTTCCAAAAATTTTTTTCGAAAACATATTCTTTCAAACATTTTTTCGAAAATTTTTTCAGAATTTTCAATTACAATTTCTTTCCAATAGCTAAAAGCAGATTACTTACTTACAGGTATGCACTGATGATGACTTAACAGTCACGAATATTTTGAATAAATTATCTTGCCTGAAATACTAATCTTCCCTTCTTAAGTAATTGAATGACAATAAATCATTATCAGTCCACTCGCCCATTGGCGGATTCGTGACTGGAACTGGTAGCTGGTTTCACACTTACTATTCTTATTCCTGGACTAACCCAAATATTTTTCTCTTAGCTTGATCTACTCAAAGTGATCTACGTTTCTGAATATTCTCATGTCTTTATTGAGAGGCCATCTATGATGGATTCATAAGTGAAAATTCAGTTAGAATATTAGGCATCTTTAAAATGTAAAACTGCAATCAGTTTTATGTTCAGATACATCTAAAATGGTCAAAACACAAATCACAGTTCTTTTTTATATACAGTGTGTTTCTGATTGAGGCTTATTTTAAGTTTGTCTCTGAAATCGTTGCCAAAAAAATCAAAATGTATTCAAATATATTTTGATATTTTTAGAACCTTGATAACTGTTTTTCAGGTTGGTATCATTTGTTCTTGCAGTGCAATGTATCCACTTTGGGATGAAACCATGGTAATAATTCTAGAAGTGAAATTCCCGATTGGTTCATGTCTATTTGAAATCCTAACAAAATCTCATGATAATTTGAAAATTCAGAGAAATTCCCAGTATGCTGTGATTTTGATTATCTGTTTTCTCACTTGATAATGTGCACCCCATATACAATACCAACATAAAGGTTATAAGAGTAGGTTAGGTTATTGAAACAAGTTCAATTCCTTTTGCAAATGCCAAAAAACTGGAAATTAGATAATAGCCATTTTTAGGATCCAATAATTCATAATGAACATGTAAAAAACTTCCTGAAGGATAAGAAAACAGGGCATGTTTGGTTAATACAGTAGCTCCAAGTGAATTACTCCTACAATAAATTCATTATTTGTGGAGTATTTCCTTGTCAATCAAACATAGTTGGTAGTGCCATAAATAATAAGAAGAAAATGAATATATAGAAATATAGACATACTTCTTCAAATTGGTCAATGAAAAAAAAATACAAGGGTGGTCCTGCCCAAAGTAGGACACTATGTGGTTCCCATAGGTCTTAAGCAATGATATTGTGTCAGATTTTGGATAATTGAAGTGATGAATGGTCCGAGATATAAATAAATTGAAGAGGGTCATGGAAAAAATTGAATTATTCAATTAGTTTCAAATTAGATCACAACAGTGTATATATCATAACTGAAAATGTATGCCAGTGTACCAGACTTTGGTAATTAGTATCCAGTTACACGTTAATGAAACAATGACACAATATTTTGTGCATTACCTTTGCATTTTTGCAATAAATAACAAGTACTTACAGAAAAAATATGCATTCATAATATAGCTGATACCTAACTTATATTTGGATAAATTCACTGTGCCAATTCAACTTATATATACAGTGTTTTATCAAAATAAAAAGTATAATAATTCAAAATTATTACAATTTGTCATCTAGACTGTGTAGAGTTGTTTAGATTCAAGAATGTCTAAGAAATAAAGACTATAACACTATTAATTAATGAATTTGTGAGTAATGGAAATCTTTTGAGAGACAGACAAATTTAAACTGCAGAAAAAAATGCCTTTGAAACTTAATTATACGATTTTTATAGAGATGCAAGCTGTACATTGTACCTAGCACCAATGTTATACCCATTACAAATAATAGTTGAATTAAAGTGTTATATAATCAGTAAAATATCCAGAATGAAATAAATAGTACATTGAAACTTGTATTTCCTGTTACCAAATTTTCATTCTTGAAGTTTTGATTTCATGAAGTGAACCAACACACAACTCAAACTAACTCAAGTGTCTACCCCAATACCACCAAAACTCTAATTGATTATTCCAATCAACATGTGTCTGAAAATGCTTCCTAAGAGCCCTACAGCTGTTTGAAAGTGAGTCCTTAAATGCATTTTTCTTTCATTATCTTTGTTACCATTGATCCTAGAATAACAAAATTTGGTACTCAAGATAGAAAGTGAAGATTGATAATTGAAATTATGCATTTTCAAGTAGATTTGTTTCATTAGATTTGAATTTGATGTGTATTTGTTGAGAAAATATCAGGAATGGAAATTTCACAAACTTATTCACTGGGTGAATTTTTTGTGGACATCAAAATGCTACACTTCTCTGGAATAAAATGGTGATAAGAGTGTTCTAAGAATCATATTCTGGTACTAAAAATGAGATGAATCATGAAACAAACTTTTATAGCATGGATTACAAGTTTCAGACCTCCCTGTCTATTACATCATGTTTTCAGTACCACAAAAGGATTTGTGAGATCTAATTACCCTCAGGTACCAAAATTCATGATTCTAATAACAATAGTAACAAGGATGATTGAAAAAAAAACAGCATTCAAGGACTTACCTTCAAAGGGCTGTACCCTTAGGAAGCATTCTGGGACATATGTTGATATTATTATTATCATCTGTAGGATTACCTCCTGCAGTTAATGAACATTATTCTGGGACACCCTGTACAATTACATCTAGTTCAGATTTCAAGCCACAAATAATATTTGATGTACATTAGAAGCAGATAGAGATCTACTACTCCTAGATCTATAAATGAATTTTTCAATATTTTTTTGGTGACCATTGAATAAACAGTATGAGAAATCCAATCCTCATGAAATGAAGTGGAGGTCTGTGAGTTGTGGTACCTTATACACTCCTGTATAAATTCAATGTTTGGATACTGATAACATCAGACCAATAAAAATTGATTAATTAAAATACAATGGCAATTTGGAACAATTCTAGAGAACTACTTTAATGTGAGTAACCCATATAGGGTCAACATAACACACCAAAACACCAACCTTTAATATTTTGACTACACATTTCTCATTGTTTGTAACATTGATAGCTTCAAATACTTCACTGTATTTTCCTCTTCCTAGTTTCCTCACCAACTGGTAATCGTCCTGTTGGCCCCAATCAACAACATAACTTTCGTAGTCCCAGTATTCTCTTGGTTTATGGGAATTAACATCAGAATAGACTCTAGCTCGGCTAGAAACGGCCATACTTTTATAAAGCACTTTACTATTTACAAAATGTCGCACATATGCTTTGCTTCCTTCCTTATGTACTGAAAAAAAATATTGAATATCAAGGAAATTGCAAAAGATTTGTTCCATAAGGAGGTTGGTAGTAATCTAGTATTAGGTCAAGTTACCTTGTTCAAAGCACAATTTCGCTATTCTAGAAAACTTTATCAGCATTACTACATTTCAATCTTCAATAATTTCAATTCAAATGTTCATTCTCATAATATTCGTATGGGTAGGTACTCGCCATTCCCCTCATACTAGACTAGCAAGGATGGATAAAGCCTACACTTAAATACATCATACCTAATTCATCCCGGCGGAAACTTTATTATTGATATATCCAGCAACACATTGCAACTTAGATAACTTCGTGATTTATTTATAAATGTTTCCGATCTATTTTAATTCACTTACTAAGCCGGCTTCTTAGTAAAGAATCAGAATCAAGATGGAAGGAAGTCCCATCCCGCCACGATAGACTGGATAGAAGGCTTATTTCAGTATACGGTATACCCCTCTAAAACTACATTGCAGACAACATGGGCGTACCCCGCTTAAAAACACCATGTGCTCTGAACGAATGGCTCTACATCAACCCTCCATTGCTATCTCTGTACACTTATAGAAATTAGGGATGAAAATAATCAGAAGTATATTAGAGGATAATACCTTGAAGCCTTCATTGACGAAAACCAGCGTAGATAGAAAACCTAGGAATGTACACCACTGCTTTCCTGAACCATCCACACGCCACACATTGCACAGTGGCTAACTTAACAAAGGTAATGTCATAGTTGCGCGAATATTCAAAACCTTAAAATTTTTGAAATAGTTCTTCAATATCAATATTATTTTGATGAATTTCACTTTCACATGCATATGAATATACTTGGGCATTCAACAACTCGTTCGAAATCGAACCTGATTCAGGAAATGATCTTGAAAATTTTGAAATGAATGAAAAGTAAGTGGCCCACAAAAATCATAAAATTGAACACCTATCTTCGACAGAGACAGAACAGAATACCTTATTCTTATTTCTGTGGTATACCTGCATATATCTACTACTCATATATGAAGCATAGCTGTCCTCAGAGCGAACCAACTTCTGTCTCTATAGGTAACGAAATCGACGAATAGGCGTTGATGCCGACGTAGGGAAAAAATAATACGAAACTTGTCAAACCAATATGGCTGGTTCCATCGTTCACTTTCCGTCCTTATAAATTCAAAAAGTACCTCTTATTTTGGTCCCGTTTTTGTTGAGATTTCGTATAGGTGATAAGCCATATATAGAAATAGTACATATATGTATACGGTAACTTATCTCTGGTCCTGCCACCAGAGCTATTTGTACTTGTGATTCTACCGCACGAATTCAATCTGACCTGAATGATGCAGCCAGATACAGGACACAAAGAGACAGGGCGCAACAAATAATCCTTGTGGAAACCAGTATACAGAAAATTTCCAGCCGTAACCTTCGCTCATCGTTCACGACCGATCCTGAAAACATTGAAAACAAACATCATTGAAATAACAAATCACTATCGGCCGCAACAATAAATTTCTGCAGAGTATTTTTCCGATGAATCACTTCGAGAAAAGAACGAAGCAGCTCCTGCTGTAATCCAAAAAGCGAAAATTCAGCGTGTGAACACCCCTGCACACATCACAGATCCATAAAATAGTTCTATGCACAGATCTGCTGGGAGATTATTTCACGAAGCGGGTATTCCAAATGCAACTGGTCAGTAATGTCAGTAAATCTACTCTTCGCTGAAAATCTGTGTTAAAGCTCAACATGCCCAAAAAATCATGAATATCACATAATCTGATGTCACTGATTTGATTTTTAATAATCATTCCCGATAGCCCATTTTATGTAGAATAGGATGACGTTAATTTCTCTCTGTAATATACTTGTACGCTTTTTTTTCAATGCGACTGTATCACGTGATTCACTGTGACCAATCCAATGAACTCAATACATTCAGTTCATTGGACCAATCTGACAATAGGTGCGTTTTGTTGACGCTAACCTAGTTCTGCAGCAGCTGTTTCATGCGTTTTCTTGACATATTCTATGAATTCGTGCCAACAATTTCAAAAGTTATTTGCTCTGGCTGCTCGATATATTTCGATCGAACAGAACAACGGCATATAAGATAACAAGGAAAGAAATCGAACAAAATGGCGGTATTGAATGTTGATTTTTGGGGTTCCTGACATTCTCACCCTACAACTATGTGAGTGAAAATAGTGAAACTTTATATTACGAAGGTATATATGGTATATGTGATTGAATTGGACAAGAATTATGTCGCTTCCAGAAGGATTTTTCCATTGATGATTTCAAAAAGGTGCCGCAGTATTTCTCCTCGTAGTTGAATCCATGTAAAGAATGGTACTACATGAGGAAACAACTCATTTATATTTCATTTGTTGAAAATTTTGTCACAATTTCAAAAAGTCAGGTTACCAACATGAAATTTCCGTTTTCTTGAACAATTATTGTATTCCATTATTCGGGTTAATTCTGTTTTCTTGCACAACTTTTCTATTCTATTTCACAGGTTATCAATAAAACGCACCTTATGAGGTTTGGGAATGGTTCGAAAGTTACGTGTCACTTTCAGTGAATTTTTTGATTTCGGAAAGAAAAATCAGCAGATTCAGTACTGTCAGTATCTACTGCTTTTTCAGCAACCAAGTTCCGTAAATAACCTATTTTCAGGAACCAACCGGACATTTCATATTTACGGAACGGAAAACTACTAACCGAAATAACCAAGTTGGAACTGTTGGAAGTTGGTTTACGGAACATACCAGCAGTGCTACACAATCTACTCTGGTGTACAATGTACAATACTGTAGAATAGTTATTGGAGTGGAGGCAGTGGAGGCACAGCGAACAGACCTCGAAAGCTCCGAAGAATCGAAAGTTTAATCACAGTTCATAGTGTTTAATGCACATTTTTTTGTTCATGTATGTAAGATATTCCGAACTTACTAATAAGAAATTATCAAAGAATACCAATTATCATCAAACTTTTCCCGCTGGAAACGGATGTATATAAGCGATAAATATAGCTGGTGTTTCTACTGATCTTCCAGAAATGGGGGGCTGTAAATGCACTTATAAAAATTGTGAAAATACTACAAAAACTACAGAAAATGTGCATTTTTTTCATTATCCAGTGAAAAACAAGGAAAGATGTAAAGCATGGATTGTCAATGCAAGTAAACCCCAGTTCTGTGATCTGGAAGAAGAACAACTTCGCAACAAAGTAATTTGTGAGTTGCATTTTGAAAATAAATGGTTTCCAAATAGTCAAAAGAAACGATTACTTCAGGGTGCAATACCTACTGTAGATGCTGGCTGTACTGATGAAGAAGAAACAGAACCTCCAATGTATGTATCACCAGAATTGCAAGATATTCAAATTCTACCTGCCAATTCAGATGGTACCTTATTTATATTAGACACTGAGTCAATGTTCTGCAGATCTTCTAATAAAGTTGAATCTTATGTTTACAAGAATGGAATGATTGTTCCCTCTAATCAGGCTCCAAAGCATGAGTTTAAGCAAATCACATCTCGGGCTAGACCTTCCACTAGCCAATTTAGTAACAATGTGAGTGATTCTTACACTCTATTTTCTAATTCAATTAAGCATGAAGAAATGATAGATACTTCTTCAATAAAAACTGAACAGCCAGACTATCTTGAAAACCAAAACAGATTTCAGACACAGAGAAATGGTTTGCAAAGTGTGCAAGAGAACATGGATTTAGAGTTTGAGCAAAATGATGAGATACATTCATCAGAGATATCCTGCAGAAAAAATTTGCAAAGTCCAGGCATGATAAAAAGTTTGCCTATAAAGAATGCTGTTCCAAACCCTGCCCTTGGAAGGAATTATCTTCGTAAGATCCAACAACATAGTAGAGATATTGCATCTATAAAAAAAATGTTGAGACAGAAGGTATCAACTGAAACCAAGCCAAATACAAATATAATACTTAATTCTATGAAGGAGCAACTTCCTCCCACATTTTTTACCCTGTTAAACTTGAACTTGAATAACAAATGTGAACTGACTGATGAAGATGTGGATTTCTTCACAACCATTCACAAAACTTCACCTGAGGTATACCAGTTATTAATTGATAAATATAGATGGAATTTGCCAGGTGTAGATATTGTAGAAGCAGTAGAATGAGTGTTGATTGATTGTATTTATTACCCATAGGTTTTGTAAATTTGAGTTGAGAATTAAGTCAAGAATATGATAGGTATCCAATATTAATGGTAATTTTATAATACATTTTCAACTGAATGCCTACACATTGCTTTGAATCTACAACATGTGAATCCTAATTATTCAAGATAATGTGCAATATAGGTATGTGCTTCCCTATTCACAGCTAAATTCTCCCTTTATTTCACTGAATTTAATTTCCTCCACTCACTATTATGATTCATCAAGACTAGACATTTTTCATTTTCGATTTTTGAGGTATAACTTCAACCTGAGTGAAAAAGTTGACATATCTCTGTTCAAATATGGTTTGTGATTTGATTTAAACAATAAAAATTCTTCATTTTAACTTCACTGAACAGCCAAATTAATACAGGAGCATAATTGTACATAAAATTTGAAATTATTATTTCTCCCAACAGCAAAATTAATACAGGAGCATAATTGCCTATAAAGTTTGAAATTATTATTTCTCCCCTTAGTCCCTTCACATTTTATGCAGGGTGGGGCAGGAAGAACTCTCCGATTTGGAAACCATCTATAGCAACATATGGCATTTTCAATGTGTATTCTATCCACCTTGCACTGTGTAAAACATGACTTGGGACAGTACCACCACGAAGCACTTTCATCATTGAAGAGTTTATTCATAATGATGGTTCATTGGAAATGGTGGTACTTGCTGGATTTAACCCCATCTGATTTTTGTCTTTGGGCCTACCTCAAGGATAAAGTGAATCAATATCGTCCCCAATCTCTAGAAGATCTTTTGGAGAGGATATTTTTGCCATTCTGTGTGGAATGATCCACAGAGTGATGGAACATTATCAGTATCTACCACCACCAATTATTTGGAAAAAAATTCCAATGAATTTTAAATCCACTATCTTGTGGATATTGCTCAACGGAATTGAAAGTAAAATAGACCTATCGGAGATTTAAAATACCTCTCTAACATAGGTATAATTGTGCTCTCTTGCGGATATAGCTCAGAAAAATAGACCATTGTATAAAGAATTGAAATACCTCTCTAAAAAGGTGTATCTTGTAACTGTAAAAAAATTTTGAAGAGTTGATCTTTAGGGCAGGAAGTTAACAGGTGGTTGGAGGTTTTTATGTAAAAAAATTAATTTTCAAAAATGAGAATCGTCCTGTTCAAGAGGATCTACATATTTAAGTATCTTATTTATATTATGGAAATACTGATTATATTCCATATAATTTTCCTCACTTTGTAAAGTGTTAATGAATATATACTATATAAGTTATGTATGTTAAGTCTTTTATTTTTGACCTAGCTATTTTTTATTGGTGTCAAAACAAATGAATGAAAATTGGAAGTTGATGGAAAATATGAAAAATGTGTTTGTCTCTAATAAAGGAACACCTTGGACATTTTTAGCTTTTCTTCCTGAATTCTGTTATATGGGTTCTGAAAATTATATAGGAGTCCAGATGTCTGTCTAATTTTTGATATATCAAAAATAGACTAAACTCGTCAGGAGGTGTTATATATATATATACAGTGTGTCCCATGGGTATCTTTTTAACGGTGGGACATACGAGGTCGGTTAAATGACACCAAATGTGGAGTTTGTCAATGCCAACTATAATGTGAAAAAATATTTTGATCAAAAACCTATTCGTTTTTGTTTTATACGCAAAAAACAGATTTTGATCATTTTCATGTCTCCTCCGTAACTTCTTTATTTATGAAAATATTCAAATAGGAATTTCACATTCTCATGGCAGTTTTTCAATGTGATTTCGAAAAAAATATGAAATTTATACCAACTCTTCTAGAATTTGAGATATCAGCACCAACTTTAGTTTTTCAAATGTAGGTCATAGCTCACTATGACTTAGTTACAAATAACTTTCTTTTCTCTTACAGATGATATGTTGCAGTAATAAAGTTTTGTGTTGATAACAACGGAGTTATCGCCATTTATAAGAAAAATGGAAATGAATTTAATAACTATTATAACTTATATTACAAAAGCGTCTAGGGGTTAAACAAATGGAATAAACTCATTTTTCCCAATATTTGAGAAGAAATCGATAGTTATCGATATATCGATATTTTTTCCCAGGCCTACTCTTGACACTTGCGTCTGCGGAGCAGACTTTCAAATGGCGAGTTCACATGCCAGCTTATGCCTGTAAGTCAAAAGGCGAAAAGCCAGCATGTGAACGCGCCATAAGAGCATCAAACCTTCGCATGTAACAAGACTGCGTACTGCGTAGTAGTGCCTGCAAGAATTGATCTTGATACTGTATCAGAACTTTAGCTAAAGACTTGTGTGAAGGTTTTAGTGCCAATCCAAAATCATTGAACTTGGCTGATAGCCCTAGCAGCTCAGGCCAACCAACCGAAGAAGAAGAAGAATCTGCCTCATAAAATGGAATAGTGGTGGGGACTTCGCGTAATCCACAATGAACTCAATTATATCTATTAGCGAATTCCATTGGTAAAACTGGATCGCACTAAGTGCATATTTTGTATTCCATTGGTAAAACTGGTGTTGGGTTTTGAATTCCATTGGAAAACTGGTTCACATAGTTTAGAGCTCAGTGCAACAATTCTCGCACGAGCTCTAATAGGTCGTGCGAAGTCGGTGCAGTTTTGAAAATGGCGGAAACATTGAATATGCATAGTTTGAACACCAAAATTAAGTGGAAATCTAATCATTATCATCAAGTAGTGATGAAAATTTGAAGATTTCAAGAGAATAAAGGAGTCTACTTTCCAGAATTCATAATATTGTTGAGTGTTTTGCACTAATAGCGAATTCCATTCGTAAAACTGGTGGTTCAATGATGAAGAAGATCTTATTGAAAAAAAAAACTGCTCAGTATCATTTCCATGAAACATCTACTCTGTTTTTAATTGAAGTCGAGAAAGAATTTCAGGATACGGACAAGTTATAAACAATGACAAACCAATTTATCGGATTTAACCTCCAACAATAACATTTTATCATATTATTTCGTATTCCGTTGGGAACGCACCAGTTCACATTTTGGTGCAAAACTGGTGCAAAACCAGTGCACCACCAGGTTTACGAATGGAATTCGCTATATAATGATGGAAGTAAGATATGGTGCGCGTATTCGGCCATTATTACGTATTGAAAATTTCAGAAAAATCACTCGACCGCATACCACCCGCCTACTATGATTTCTCTACGTCACAACGAACGAGACGTTGATTCTAAATTTTCCCGCTAGATGGTGATGCTGCTATTGCTGCTGTGACGAGTGGAAATAAAATGGCAAATGGCATTTTAGGTACGCGGTTGCCGGATTGTGCTGATTTTCTTTAACTTGAGGAAGAAAGTACTTCAATGATCTTGAACTGATAGGATAACCCCAAAAAGAAGAAAATAACATTTTCCATGAATTCACATGGAAGTAAAGAGAGACCATTCTTCAAGAAGAAACCTTCACTCTATTAAATGATGTACTCAAAAGTAAATGCCTCCACAGTACTTTTTTCAGGAAAGATGGAAAATATCCCTCCTGCATAAAAAAGGACACAATTTTTTTTAAACCATCTAATAACCTTACTCTACATAAATATGAACCTTCTTTCTAAAAAGAACAGTACCCAGCGAGCACAAAAACATCTCAGAGATGTTGAAAGTACGAGATTTCGAGACATTGAACCTCCACTGCGATGTTCTGTTCACACATGAATAGAACTATTATAGAACAGCCAATGTCCGCCGCAGGCGGCAATTATCGGGATGTCCTTGATATGTCACTAACTACCTTCTCCCTAGTTCTTTTTAAAGCCTTTTCATGGACACAACTAAACATTTTCAACGCGTCTTGCGCACATTAAATCGCTGTAAAAAACCCATTTTCGAGGTACTTTTCTGAAGCCTTTTGTCAAAATGAACTTTTGCATTAGGATTCCTTTTCCCTTGAATGAAAAAATGCATTAAAAATAGATTGAACATAAAAATATTTTCTTGATATGAAATTACCTTCTTAATCGGTTTCTGAGTAGTGCTTACTACACACAGACATATAATTGGAAATAGAGGTTTCCCAATTTTTGAAATGTTCTCCACAATGCATAATTTTGCAACTGCGGAGAAGCTGTGTATTGATAAATTCATGGTCATTATTACAAACTAAATAAGTCTTCTAACATAATATACTTCACCAAATTCCTTTCCGTTCGTTAGCATCGTGATGTAAGCAGCGTGACACGCTGCAAACGCGAATGCCAATTGCGAACAAGAAGAACAAAATCGAAAACAAATCAGACTTCATCGTATTGTGACGTAAGCATGAGTCGTTGTGGTGGGGCAAACAAAGAAAGGGCACAAAAGAACAAAAACAATACTTTCAATGTCCTTCTAAGACCTCTTTGGGAAGTGCATATTACGCCTCAAAAAAACATCCTCATGCCTACATTTCTAAAACATCCCAAAACATCCCAAAACATCCCAGGGATACCTCTCAGTAGGCAAACAAAGAAATGCCACAGAAGAACAAAAACAATACTTCAATATCCTTCAAAGACCTCTTTGGTCAGTGCATATTACGTCTCAGAATAACATCTTCATGCCAACATTTTCAAAACTTCCCAAAACATCCCAGGGATGTTTGTGCTCGCTGGGTACTTTTTTCAGGGAGGAAGGAAAATATCCCTCCTGCATAAAAAAGGACACTACTTTTTTTACCTGAATGCACCTTCTTCCTAAAAATTATATTTTTTGAAAGAAATCTCACCTGAAAAAAAACAGATCTAAAAAAGCCAACTGTCGCAGGCGTTGAACCCGGGGTGCCGACGTATGAAGAAACAATTTACTTGCTCTTCCCGCACTTGCCGCGCTGATTATATTTTTGTTACGCGTTACCTGTCCCATATAGGCGCTAATATTCGAACGAAGAATAGCGATAACTAGCAACGCTGCACTCCCCCCATCTTTCTAAAATTTATGGCAAGTATATTTCCCGGACGCATTTAAACATTCCGGTATAGGATTCGGCACCTGCTTAAATTCTATTGGCCGATTTTGATTTATCTGACCAATTGAAGGCGGAGTGCCGAAATTCGTACCAGAATGTTGAGCGGTGCTGAAACACAGGAATGTTGATGAAATGAAAGCTCGAGATAATGTGTAATGAACGCATTTTTCAATAACTTTAGAAATTTTCATTTATATTCATGATGATTATTTGGTATAAAAGTTTAAAATGAATGATTATATGTAATAAAATGAGATAATAATTTGTTAAATACTGTCTGTAGGTTAATCGAGGAGGTGGTACATTCATTATTCCAAATTTTTTGGGATTTTCTCTCCTCGTTTCTATAAAATAAAAATATGAATATTATTTCAATATGCAAATAAAAAAATATTTAAAAGACATAAAATTGTTACCTGTACAAGAATCTTTTAATATTTGTAGGGCCTGATTTGAAACGCCATGATGTAAACGACTGAGCTTCATAATCATTCATCCATTGCACAACTTTTGTTTCATTCTCCATATTGCCCCTTTACAAATTTTCTGAAACTTTTATTAATCTTTCCATAATTAGTGATTTATGGTATACTTCACTAATTGATGATTGCACTTAACTATAATAACAAGATTGCAGGTTTGTTGTTAGCATGTGGGAACGACGGTATAATAAAAAAATACGCAGGTTAGGTAAATGCGAGGGTAAATGTAAACAAAAACCGCGCAAAATGCAGGGCAACATTCCGACCTGCTTTTCAGCACCGCTCAACATTCTGGTACGAATTTCGGCACTTCGCCTTTAATTGGTCACACAAATCAAAATCCGCCAATAGAATTTAAACAGGTGCCGAATCCTATACCGGAATGTTTAAATGCTTCCCGGACGCTACTTATACGCTCATACTTTGACAGTCTTCACCAATGAACTTCGTTACAATGAGTTTAATGCTCTTGACCAACTCCAAATCAAATTAAAAGTAGTTAACTTTTCAAATGAACCAATAATCAAACCAGCTCTTATTTAGTTCTAAGACTTTATTAAATGTTACCAAAAAACGTTACATAACCGTGAGAACTTATACCAAAATGTAAAAGATAGTTTGATAACAACATCAATCACAACGTTACTGAGTAATGGTTGAGGAACGTTATTGAAAAGCTTATTCATCACGTTGTTTCTGTTACTGACTGTTGAATGATGGTAAAAGATTCACGTTGGGAAAACGTCAGATTTAAGAGTTCATTAAACGTTACAAAAAAACGTTACATAACCGTGAGC